CCGACCCTGTTCCTCGTCAGGCTGAACAAGCCCAGTTCCCCCAACCTCTCCTCGTAGGGGAGATGCTCCAGTCCCCTCACCATCCTTGTAGCCCTTGTATCCCAAGAATAGGTATTAAAGATAAAAATATTATTCAAATCTTGCCCAAGGTCCAAATAACAGAAAAATGAACTTCTTAGCGTGCAAGTCAGAGCCAGAAATTTAGCTGTTTCAAGCAAATGTTTTCCGCTGAATCTAGATTGCACATTGACACGGTATTGTTACTGAAGTAGGAAGCAATTAACCACTGGGTTATGGCCACAAACTGAGACTTGATGATTGCATATGGGACCCTCTATTCAGTGTAGACAGCTCACCAGATTACAATTTGATGTAAAATTTGAATGTCATTAGTTTTCCATACTCAAATACCTCTGAACAGTTCATTATAATCTTGCCATTAGCAATGGAACTCCAACCTTAGACGCTTATATGAAGCGTACTCCTCTGGGTTGTATTCACCAAGTGGGAGCTGAAATTTATTATCCCTCCAAGTAAAGCGTAGGGCTGCCCAGCTGCACTTTGCCATTTCATCGACTGCTGCAAGAAAACATGCTTTTATTTCCCCTTCTCGTGTGTCTACAGTACAGGAAGGAGGAATATACGATTAATTTGGCATAAGGTTTATTTAGAACAAGCTCAAGATAATGCTCTTCCTCCAGCGGCTGAAAACCTACTCTTCCATGGTCTTCAAAAAAAGCAGGGCTGAGGCATGTGTTATAGACAGGTTCGCACCTACAGAAAGGCAGTTTTTATCGCTTTGATGAAAAACCAGGCCAGACATATAGAAGTTTTGACAGCTCCACTGTCAAGAGACCAGAATCTGCAGATTTATAGTATAGATAGGAATGCAGAATCTGCACAGAGGACATGCAGTGCTGTAGAACAAAATAAGTTTCTACAATACATTATTTTATAAAAGATTTCTATACAGAAGCACTTATTGTGAAGGCTCCATTTTCCTCAGCTTCTATTTTTCTCGTTCATAACAGAAAATACTTCTTTAAAAAGTCACTATTCATTTCTTTCTCCGATTTTATGCTGCCACGATGGTTCTCCATGAGCTTTCACAATCAGCAGTCAACAACTCATGTCAGAGCTTTCTCAGTGTGCCTCAAGTCCTGCTGCATCCATTCCCGCCACTGCTTTGTCACCAGCACTGTCCCCAGGACCCAGATGCTTGTCATCTCCCACCTAATGTGTTCATGCGGTTCAATTCAATGCCAACCACCTCATTACCCTCTCCCCAAACCACAGTCGCATCTGAGACACCCACCCCTCCACCACAGCCCACCAGTGCTTCCCAGCACCAAGGACCCTCTCAGCTGGTTTCGCCTCTCGCCCTCAGCTCCAAACTCAAGGTTATGTCCTACATCTGCAGCTCATTTGGGGAATGAACTCACCTGTCTTCCACTTCCCTGCTACCAGTACTCAGACCTGGTTTAAACCCCTGGCTCCCTTGGCTAGACACTTGCCCCCATCTAGCACCTCACCTCTTTCCTTTGGGGTCTCACTGCACGTCTTATCCCAAACACCAGGAGAGCTCGTTGAGCTCCTAACACCTTCTGCCCGATGCCAGGAGGTGGCTTGCAGCAGCCCCCCAGCCCAGCTCCACGCACATTACCTTACTCTCCACCACAGAGATGAGAATCTGCTCCATGATGCTGCTGGTTGCTGGGACGGAGGTCTGGATGTGGCCGATGACCACACCGATGGCCACGCGGGACAGCTCGTAGCTGAGGTGGGTGTTCCTGCGCACCAGCTCGATCAGTTCGGCACCTATCGTCTTGGGCACGGACGCCACCAGACCACTGGGTTCTGCTGGCACCGGATCCACTGCAGCCACCTTCTTATCCTCCAGGCACAGGGAGCTGAAGGCATCCAGGCTTGCAGCGGCCACTGGGGCAGCTTTTTTCACCTGCGAAGCCTTCTCACCATCCACAGTGTGGGACCTCTGGACCCCCGCTTCAGCCGGCGGTGCTGGGGCAGCCCTCTTGGTCTGGGGAGATTTGCTGGCCCCGTCCTTCGGGGAAGTCCGGGGTGTTGGCAGGACTGGAGGTGGCCGTCGGGAGAGCGGTCTCCGACGCAGAAGAAGCGGTGTACAAGGTATCCAGGGATGTCGTGCTTATAGAGGAGGCACTAGAGGCTGACCCAGGGATAATTTCAACAGCGTCTGAAAGGGAACAATTAAAAATGCCTTAGCAACAGCATCAAAGGAAAAAAGAAAAAAACCAAATTGCTACAGCGCAGTCCATTAAAAGGCTCATTGTGCATGCGACCAGAGCAGTTTAACTCCTCTTCCTGCCTCACTTATCTCAAAGGGGGATTGTACCAGTTCTCTCTGGAGCATTCTCACACAATCACCTCTTTGGAACCGGGAAAACTACTCTATTGAGATGAATACCCTTCAAAGGGCTTAGTGTTTTATGCAGGGGAAGAGAGGGAGGGGGGAAGAGGACTAGGGGACAGAAGAGTCTTCTGCCCTGGCTTAGCGAGGGCCTTTCTCTGCGTTCAGGATCTAAGCTCTCACTTCTGAATGATGGTGCCTGAGAACTGCAAGACACCGAAGGCTTCACACGCCAGCCCGCACCTCCCTCTCACACAAACCTCGCTGACTGCACACCACGGATTGCACCAACAGTGGAGGAAACATTTGGCTGCCAACACTTCTAGGCTCTCCCTTTCAGCACTCTTCAACACTCGGTCATGAGCCCTGTAGCCCTGCTAGCGTATCCTGCTTTCACAAGCCTCCACGTCATCCGCTCTGCTGTATTTCTCCCCCCACCTCTAGTTTTGACTAGCTCTAGCAGTGGTAGCTGTCCCACCTTCCAAGCAAAAAACCCACTACAAGCAAAGAGATGTTAAGATTTTTCTTTCCTTTAACCTATTCTAGTATATAATTTTGGTAAACCTTATCCATTCCTTTCTAGGGAGCAGGGATGCATCCAAGTCCTTCCCTGACCATGAAGACAGTTACTTGGGCAAACACTGGGCTGCCTTCACCTAGAGCTTCACGAGGGCAGCTGGTGTTAGTGCTGAAAGAGAAGGATGCACCTCACGGGGAGCCCGGCTCTCAGGAAAGGCCGTTTCCCCCACACCAAAGGAAGGACCAGCGGGACAGACACGTGAAATGCCTTTGCTGTACCTCTGCAGGCCCTGCTGGTCCTGGGAGCCCTCCACTACTCCATCCACCACTCCAGCCCCAGGCAAGCACAAGCTAGGCAGAAAAACATGGCCCTTCACTCCCACGGGGGTTCAGCATCCCTCTTTTTCCCTCCTCTTACTCACAAAGGAGCATTCACAAATCGTATCTCCCACTATGCTTGTTAAATCAAGATAAGTTGAAGGAAGCTGACCTTTGCGAATTCCCACTACCACAGTGAAAAATGGCTCAATACCATTAAAATAAGATGGTGCCAGCCTCAACTTTCAATTAACTACCTGCAAGTCAACAGCTCTGACCTGCTCCTCACAAGAGGACACGAGTGGGCTTGAAATGGGCTGCATCACACACAGCATGACCGTCAGCACAGGAGAGCGCTGGGGCAAGCTGACAGCAACTCAGCAGGATGACCACTGCCTCTGCCAGCCCAACCATACTGAAGATGGAGAAGCTCCTGCCTTGGCCCCATGGTCCTGCTCTTCTCTGAAGTGCTCACAACCAGCAGCTCCCCTGCCTGTGGGCAGCATAGACTTAGCCGTGCCCCTGGTATTATTTCTGCTCCTTACAGACACCAGACGCTAATTTTATGGAAATCTGAACCAAGTGCTGTACAAAGAAGGTACCCAACAGACCGAGAGGCAAAAGCAGACTTGGCCTTGTCCGAAAAGCGCTACCAGTGAGCTCCCCCGGTGAAGTACCACACTCTGCACTGCCAGGGAAACCTCCCTTTGCCTTGGTGGGAGACGGCCATGGTGTATGGGGGACAAAAACACCCACGAGAATCTTAAATCACCAAGGTTGTGTGCTGGCAAGATCAGCCACGTGAGCAGGCAGAGAGTTTGGTCCCCGGAGAGCACCACATTTCCCAGGGCTACCAGCACCGGAGGACCAGGAGGGTGCTGTGCCTGGCATCCATCTGCAGGTGCCAGGCAGCCCAAGCCCTCCCGGATCAGAGAGGACATGAAGGAGCACTGGCCACCAGCTCATGATTGTTAGCATCAAAACCTATATGAATTTAGGAGATCCCTATTTACACAGATATATACAAAAAAAAAGGATATAAAACCTAGAGGAATTTAGGAGATAGAGATACATATATAAGGATGCCCTTCTAGGCATAAAGCAAAAGTGTCTAGGCACCATGACTTATGTCGCCCAGTGTCCGTTTCGTGCCCAAGATCTGGAGAGCAGTTTGTCCTTACTTTTAATGGGAGCAGCACTCTGCACGTTCTTGCGTTTCTCTGGAGGTGGGGGGGTGATAGGAGCAGCACGCCGGGGCTGTGGTGGGATCTATAAGGAAAGATTTCAGAGCAATCAAAGGAGGTTGACAATAGAGACATTCCTTCTTTCTCGCGTGTGCGCGTAGATTTGTCCTTACATCTCTCTCATCATTAGGGGAAGTTTTCTCAGGAGGACAGATATTAATAGGCGGCTTCCTAGAAGAACAAAGCAGGACTCAAGCCTGCTTCATCCCCTCCCTGTGACAGGCAAAGCAGCCCTTGTTTAATTGCTGTGTTCAGCAGCACACAGCGCACACGTTGTGTAGACCTGTCAAGCATTTACTCCTCCTTTATTCCAAACGCAATCCCACACACTCACCGTGACTCCACATTACTCTCAATAGCTCCACAGAGGCTGCAAACAGAGCGCATATTTAGAGACTCTTCTGGAGAGATCCATTACATCAGCTACAAATACCCTTGCAGAAAGACAAAGCCAAGGACTGGAGACATGTAAATGCCTTTTCCATGCTTTCAGAGCTATTCCTGCTCACACAGCGAGAAAATAGGGCTGGACCCTCTGTGCAATGCTACGCTACCTATAGCAAGACCCACTGGGCAAAGCTTTTGCCAGGGAGTTGCATTAACTCTCCACTTCTGGGGTTTCTCCCCTCAGTCTCTTCAGCTACAAACGTTGAGCCAGCAGCGTGTGAGCCCCAGACCCTCATCTTTTCCTGTCAGATCCCAACACCGTCATCACCAACATCACTTTCACCCACAGAATTACTCTGGTGAGGTACAACCTCAGGGTTAACCTCTGATCAGTAGGACGCTGCTGAACACGCCGGCCAAGCTAGGTGGGAGCACATTGCATCAACACCTTAATCCTCACATCCCAGCGGCTCAGGGCCAGGAGACTCGGTTCAGGGTCTCTCGGGACTTCTGTGGTTTGGAGCCTGCTGCCTGAAGTACACCTCGGTATTTATGGGGTATTGCAATTGCTGCCTGGAGCAAAACCTCCCAGGGCAGCACGGGAAGGGACGGGAGGTGATCGCCTGAATGCCTCAGCTAACCCACATTGAAGGCAGCTGAAATCTACAGTGACATTCAGGCCTTCCCACTGTGCCAGTTCTCCAGGTTTGTTTAGCCCTGGAAGAGAAGCTTTTCTGTGACCTGTCAGCGCTCAACAGCCCTGTGACGCCGCACAGGGCACAGGCACAGAGTCTTGCCAGGCCCCGCAGTGAAAAACTGAGATGGGCCCCTGAAAAGTCTCTGTTTTAAATAGCTCAGAACAAGGAGAATGAAAAATGTACTTTTTTTCCCCCCTGGATCCAGGAAGAGCAGAAACCTCCTCTGAAATGGGAGCAGAGGTCTTCCTGGAAATAAGACGCCTTCAGGAGCCACCTTAAATTATCAAGACTCGATGCCAAAAGCTGACAACGTGGTGCTCACAGCCCGTGTCTGGAGCCCACCAGACAAGTGAAGACACAGCAGTCTGCACAGCTCACAAAGGCTTTTAAAAAGGGAGCTCGTGGTGCGCTTCTCCCACCCAACACCTAATATATCCAACCTTTCACTGTCACACAACCAGCTACTCCTTTACAAGCGCCTTTAGCTGGTGGATTAGTACGAGATGCTGCTGCAGACTCCCAGCCTGAGCTCTTCTGCTCTTGTCAATCCATCCCACATTGTTCTCTGGGTAAAACGCTATATGATACTTGCACACAGCTTCAAAAATGATCCGTGTCGGTCCAAAAAGAGACTGTACAGCTGAGAGAGGGCAAACAGATCAGAGGGGTCTCTGCACCGCATAGTTGGAAGGCTGATCCCAAATCCGGGAAGCTCAGCTGTGCTAAAAGCAGAGCCCTCTCTGCAGCGCGGCGGAGCTCTCAGCACGGCCACGCTGACAGAAGCGGTGGGATTTAGCAGACAGGCAGGCTCAGAGCTTAGAGCAGCAGCGTGACGTTATTTGGAGACAGCTAGGGCTGGGTCATTCTGGAGTATTTCCACGGCTTCATTAGCCCTTCCAAATTTACCATGAAAGTTTAACACAGCTATTGCAGACTAGTGTTTAAATTAATAGATGTACAGCTAATGCTAGCTCGGAGCCCTGCCAGCTGCATTTAGATGTGAAGCATCACATGAATTTCCCCGTGCTGACGCCTGTCTGAGCTGCAAGCTGCTGCACGGTCAGGAGTCGCAAGGGGTGACCGATGGCCATCCCTCTCCCTCCGCCCCACATCCCAGGTACAACATCGAACACCCAAGGGAAGGGGAGCAAAAAGGAGGAAACATCCTCCATGCAGCTGCCACGGGGAAGGTGACCATGCAGGGGTCTCTGCAGCTCAGATCCCTCCTGTCAGAGGAGAGACCTTATCAAGGGTCCAGAGAGAGGCACCTACACATGTTGAAAGCCGCCCTTTCCCCGGGTCTCTACAAGGGAGCTGTGAAATTCCCCTAATCCATGGATTTTACACGTGTGCTGCTTCTCCTTTTCCATTTTGCAGGGACTTCTTGCAGAGGCTCTGCTCCCAGCGCTGCTCGAGACAAGAGCTGATTCAACCACAACGCTCCCATCCCCTTCCCAGCCAGGCAGAGACCACCACCACTCCTTCAACCCCAACTCCTGGGAATTATGCTATTATAATAGAAACATTTGAAAAACAAGCGAAAAACCACCCAATGGAAAAAAAAACCAAAACAAAACAAAACGACAATCCCCTGCCCACCACCTCCTCTAGGCAAACTCTGCCAAGCCAGACACACTGGTCTACAGCAAAGGCTTCTGGAGACGAGCATCACAAGCCCACTGAGCATTCACAACTGCAGCAGGCTGACTAAAACACTCTGAGAGCCCAACCTCCTCTCTTGGTAGCTGGTATGTAACTGCCCCAGCTTCCCATCTCATGCTAACCATGGAGGAGTTGAAGAGAGGCTCAGCACGGGTGTCATCACCAAGTTCTTCAGCCAGTTCAGCCCTGGGAGCAAAGCCACCCACAGGAAATTTGCAGTTCAAATTTTGCGTAAGTTTTCAGATGCAAACATTGAAGGCACCTAAAACCCCCAAGCAGTGAAAAGCACATCCCAAGACCGCTGCTTCTCTGGAGCTAGCGAGAAAGTTTAGATTTCAGTAGATCTCCTCTTAGGCAGCTGCATAACCAGTGGAAGAAAGCAACGCTGCTTCCTCCGTTTCTTATTTTCCAGGCATACAGGAAATCCCTCGGCTGAACTGTCAAAGCCTCAGGGAGCCCTTTCAGCACAGGTCAAAGCTGGAAGCCCTTCACCCGCATCCTCAGTGCCACCCAGACAGAAACTGTTCTTTGTCAGCCAAGGAATCTGTCTTGTTCCTTTTTGGCAAGCAACCAAACCACAGACCAGATAAAGACGGGGAATCGGCATGAAGAATGGGCTGTGAAGTGCTCCATCCTCTTAGCCCATAATGCACAGGCTCAAGAATGGAGCTGGCTTGGCTACCAAGGAGAAAAATGGCGTTTGTAAGGATTGTCGTGTTCTGCATGAGCCAGAGCTACCTTTCATCTCTGCAGAGTCGCAATTCTTCAAGTGTAAAACAAGCCTCATCTGCTAGGAGTGACAGTGTATCAGTACCTTATCAACACTGCCTCCGAACACTTGTCCCTGACAGATGAAGAAAAACTACAGTGCACGTGTTCATCTGTAGCAGAAAAAAAATCCCCGTGCTCATCCTTGCTTGGCGCCTTTAGCCCCAACACCCAGCGATACCCGCACAGTGTAATCGGCCACGTCTTTCACCCCCAACAGCTGCTGCATCCGTTCGGGGCTACTTCTCTGCGGCCTCGCTGGCGCCGCACAGTAACCTTGGAACCGTGTGCCGCCGAGGTAAAAAAAAATCTGCTCTAAATCACATTTCCTGCAATTTACCTTTAATTCATCATGACAAGGAACATTCAAAGCAAGGTCTTTGGGGTTTTTATGATTCAAGCTGTAAAAAAAGGCAGCCACAGTGATAAAATGCTTAAGGACCAAAGATCCGGTTGTGCAGATTTAACAAAGGGGAAACAAAGCAGTGCTGAGTACTTGGAGGGAGCTCTGCTGCTCACGTCAAAACTGTTTTTCAAAGTATTCTCTGCGGAGCTTGCAACTCTTTTAGAAAGCTGTCCAGAGACAGTCACACAATCTAGAGCGGATCTTGCACGCCACCATAAAACCATGGACCCTCAAGGATCCCTAAAAGCCTCACGAGCGTAATGGCAGAGTGACTGTTCCGGACTTCTTGGATAGAGACAGCATCAGTCGACATTGCAGTAACCCCAGGTAAGCAGCACAAACACTTGATTTGTCACTTCAGCCGCAAAGGCATTCCATTAAACAGGACAAGCGATGCCATACCACTAAAGGAGGAACCTAGAAAGCGTCCAGCTGCTGTTACCTGATAGAGACCTTCATCCTCCTCCTCAAACTCAGTGTTTGGAAGGCTGTGATGGCGCTCGTATCCCGTCCGGCAGACCCCGTTGGGCTGCCGAGCCACATCCAGATGGTGATCGCTGGAGGACTGCGTCATAACCATCCCCTGCGGGGTGGGAGAGTGACCTTTGCGAGACACGGTCTCCTTCCGGTGATGGATCAGTTTTCTGAAACGGCACGACGAAATCAGGAACAGCACAGCTAAAGGGAGGAAGCGACCGCGCCGCAACATTTAAATGATATTTTAAAACTATTTATTGCATTTGGGCTATATATACCAGAATGGGTTACATTAGTCTGAACAGCAACTCCAGTTTCATTAACAACTAAGGAAGCACTTCTGGGGGAGGAAGGAAGAGGCTTTGCAAGAGCCCATGATTTATTCATCAGTTCGCTGGAGAAAAATGCTGCTTCCTCAGGGGGAGAGTCACATATTGCACTGCAAGCTTCAGAAATTGCCTGCACTTTGGAATCGCTGTTCAACTGAGATTAAACCAGCATGCCTCAGCACCGAGTGCGAGGTGTCAGAGAAAACAAAAATTCTCCTCACAAGCAATTATTTGAGAACATATTAAGGACTTGTACCCCGTGCCAACAACCTCTACAATTCCTGGCTCGTAGAGAGAAGAAAAGGCATCCAGAAAGGTTTTAGATGTCTCCTCTAAGCCTACAGTGCAGCTGAGAGTTTTCTCTTCTTTGCACGTGCAGGGACAGAGAGGGGAGAGCAAAGCACTGCTTTGCGGGACACGTTTGACTGGAGGAGCAGCACTGGCTACCAGCTCAAACACTGGGAAGCTCTCTGACTGCATCAGCACTTTGCAGCACAGGGACTCAAATCAACGATGTCCGCTGTGACCCCCAAGGACAGAAAAGACACAAGCACCACACGCTGACCACCCTCCATCCACCCGCTCTCCCAGACGCCCATCATACTTACTGGAGGACATCTCTCTGCTCCAGGTTGTACTTTCCCCCATTCTTCATTGCCGCGTTGTGCACAGCCTCAATGGCACGGTCAATAGACTGGAGAACCACATCTTGCTCCAGCACCTGAGAGACACAACATCCCACACGTTACTGCACTGCTTCAGCTGCGGTTCTTTTGCACCAGAGCTTAGGGCAGGAGAGACCGCAGGGCAGGGAACCCGCAGAGCAGGCACCGCACAAGCCACACTGCCAGCAAACAGCTCCTAGCGCCAGAACCCCATCTCGGCACCATCGCGCTTCCCCCTCCTTCCTCCAAAGGAATCACAGAATGTTAGGGGTTGGAAGAGACCTCTGTGGGTCATCTAGACCAACCCTCCTGCCAAAGCAGGGTCACCTACAGCAGGCTGCACAGGACCTTGTCCAGGCAGGTCTTGAATATCTCCAGAGACGGAGACTCCACAGCCTCCCTGGGCAGCCTGTTCCAGTGCTCCATCACCCTCAAAGAAGTTCTTCCTCATGTTCAGACAGAACTTCTCATGCTTCAGTTTGTGCCCATTGCCCCTTGTCCTGTCGCTGGGCACCACTGAAAAGAGTTTGGCCCCATCCTCCCGACACGCACCCTTGAGATATTTATAAGCATTTATAAGGTCTCCTATCAGCCTCTTCAGGCTAAACAAGCCCAGCTCCCTCAGCCTTTCCTTGCAGGAGAGATGCTCCAGTCCCCTCATCATCCTCGTAGCCCTTTTGAAGCCGTGCTTTGAACTGTCTGCCCTTTCAAGGTTTACATTTGGAAAACCAAGTCACCGTTCCCAGCACCAACCTCCAGTGATCACTACAAGACCACCCAGGGCAGGGTTTCAGGACCACCCTTGAATATTCAGCCTGCTCCAGGAGCTTTCCAGACCCCACTGCAAGGCCCAGCTTATCCCAAGCTCAATTATTTCTGCTCTTGCTGCCCTGCTATGGAGCAAACACACAGCTGTGAATGTTACAGATCTAGCTGAAATCTGGCAGCCTTCAGAGTCCATTTGCTCTAGGACTGCATTTTTGCTCGCCTTTTTCTTGATGGTTTTTATACTTGTTTTGCAACTTGAAGTGGCTTTTCCAAATCTCCACCCAAATAGCAACATTCACTCCTCCTGCCAGCCAGCTCAGCGCTCACTGCTGCAGCTGAAACAAACACCAGCCTCGAAACAAGGCATAGTGCAGACCTCATTCCCAGGCCTTCACAGGGGGCTGGGAGAGCTGTAGCGGAGGGGCATGGGAAGGAAAAGCAGGTTTCCAGACTTGGAACATCCCTCAAGGCTTTGTTTATCAGCAGTTGACACACATTCAGGAAAGACCTTTACAGGACTAAGGCTGGAGGCGAAGCACATGCTACCGAGTCTGTACGCTGGGTCCAGCAGACCCGCAGGTCTCCTGTCCAGTGCTGCTGGTGCCGGCACCCTCCGTCCGGTGCCACCGCCGGCAGCCCCAGCCCACGCATACAGCAGGGGAGCAGGAGCGAAGGGGAGCGCTTGGGCTCCAGCGCTCACTGCCGCTGTTTGAACGCTAAAACCCCCTTCATCTTCGCTTGCTTTGCCCCCTCCCTGCATCAGAGCAACCATTTATCCAGGCGAGGAGCGGCTGGAATCTCATCAAGGATGCACCTTAATTGGCCTTAGGGGGCTGCAGAGCAGCAGACGGCCAGCCCTCCCCACCGGGGCCGAAAGTGCCTGCCTCCATTGCACGGGCATGCAGTTTTCTGATAACATGCTATGTATTATTTATATCCTGATTAATTACTAAACCAAATGTGAATTTACAGCTAGCGCAGACTGTGGGGAAAAAAACAACCTCCAAACAAGGTGGGGATGAGAGGCCCGCTCTGCAACACACATCTTCGAAAAAGAAAAATTTAGGAGGGTTTTTTTGTTGGTTTGTTTTCCCAAGAAAGAGAAATAGGGAAGAAAGCACCTGGGAAAACTTTAAAAATAAAACCAGGTATGTTAAAATACTTCTACCAGATTTGTTGAAGTATCAGATCAAGGACAAAACCAACCGTCAGAACCCAGCTTTGGGCTGAAGCCCCCCAGCACCCCGACAGGGCCCAGGGAGCACGTCACCCCCTCTGACCACAGATCTACGCGAGGAAATGGAGCAAAGCGCGTTTGCACACGTTTAAAGGAGCGTCGGAAGGCAAGGCAAGCTATTTCAGAGAACGCATCGCATCTTCTGAGAAGATAAGTTTACAGCAAGCTGAACGCTTTCTTCGGGAAAGGGGAGCAGCGCAGCAGTCCCCAGCGCTGCTGTCCCCAGGGGAAGGCCAGTGCTGCTCTGAGCATTGAGACCCCTGCCCTCCGCCTGCCCTCGTGCAGCCCCCACCCTAAAATCCAGCCCAGCCCCCGCTACGGCCTCCCAACACCCACCCCGGCGCACGCCCCGATTCCCCCCATCCACCACCACCCCCTCCACATGACGCACCCCTCCACCCTGCCTTCTCTCCCCCTCCCCAGCCCACCAGCCTTCCCACCCTTCCTCCGCCTGATCGCAGCACGGAGCGCCGAATCCCGCCGAACGGCTCCGCGTCTCTGCCCCCTTCAAGAGGGCACACCGACACCGTCCACAGCCCGCAGGGACCCACAGCCCGGAGCTGCTACTCGCTGTGCGATGCCATTTGCTATGGAGAGGGCGCTTCTTTCCTGATAAATCACAGCGTTTTCACACTAATGCAGCAGCGTTGTGACAACTGGCTTTTACCTGCTGTGCTCTTTCCTTTGTTTCCACTTCCTAACCCCTCTATTAACAGGGCCCTGTCAAAGGGGCTAGAATAAAAAAGCAGCATTAACTTTCCACTTGCACTTTACGACATTGCTGGTGCTGCTCATCAATCATCTCCTCCTCCCCTGCTCAGCTGAGCTGTCAAGGGGCAGGGTCTGCAGCACAGGGGCCACCTCGCATTCGAGGTTTGCAGGACACTCAGCATTGGGGACCCCCTGCACTACACTCATAAACTTAAAAACCAGACATCAGTATCCTGGATATCATGGGATTAGAAGGAATCCGCACGCTTCCCGGGTTAACCAAAATGGCATTGCTTTGTTGGAAGAGGATGGACAAAGCAGCACGCTGCAGTTAAGAGGGGCATGGGTTGCGCGGGGGCAGAAGTCAGGCTTGCTGGTGTCTCACCTTACAAACCCCTTGGCCCTAGGACTCCAGGGATCGCCTGCTGACAGCAATTCAGGATAATGCCCATGCCCCGCTGCTCTCCCCACACAGTTTCGGGAGACCGGTCCCTCCGTCATGCTGACAGGGGACTCCTGCCAGCACCCAGCACCCGCTCCGGAGGAGGCTCGCAGGCGGGATGCTGAGCGGTACGGCCAGGCAGCGCAGGCCCCCGCCTTCCCACACGCTTGCAGGCAATCCTGGCAACGCACGGCTCTGTGGCTTGCGGAGGAGAGGCCACAGACCGGCACCAAGGAAACGGAGCAGAGCCTTTGAGGAGAGATCCGTGCTCAGAAGTCTGTGCTACCATCCAGCCCCGGCCCCTTCCCACGCCCCAGGATACAGCGATGAAACCCCGCTCATTGTGGGCTAAGCTAAGGCTCACAGGGAAGCAGGGGAGCGCACGAGAAGGGCACCGCTGTACGGCGTGCTGTCAGAGCAGTCGTACCAAGTAAAGCCCAGAATCCAGCTGGATTTACTGAAGTTTTGCTGGTCACCGCAAGGGCGGGGGCGGGCAGAGACCCGAGC